CGATTCAAAAATCATTTATTCAGTTTGGGCTTTTACAAGCACATGTGAAAGTCGAAAACTACGCCATCGGTTCGCAAAACTACGGCGGGAGACCTTGTACTGAGAAGAACCGGCAAGAAACTCAGCAAGGGCTGCTCTTTTCTCCCTGTTTTATTTCATACAATGTCGTCAAATTGAAAGTTGACATCAAACTTGCAATCATGTGTTGAAAATCCAAAACTACGCCATCGGTTCGCAAAACTACGGCGGGAGACCTTGTACTGAGAAGAACCTGCAAGAAACTCAGCAAGGGCTGCTTTTTTCTCTCCCTGTTTTATTTCATACAATGTCGTCAAATTGAAAGTTGACATCAAACTTGCAATCATGTGTTGAGGTCAACTTCCATTTCGCGCCGTGTTTCATGGTTTCGCCGACTCGAGAGGTCCCGGGTTCGAATCCCGGTGGAGGCAGATGTTTGTGTGAAGAATACGAGCTTTTGTACTCCAGTCATGGATGTTTAATATGTATTTCTATATAAATATACTTATATATGCACAGTATATGTATTCTATCCGTTACCCTAGCATCCCATAACACAAGCCTTACAGTGCTTACTTTGAGGCTAGGCTAATTGGTGTGTGTTGGAAAAAAAAAATTTTCACCGACATAAACTCAATACCACCAAAAGGTAGTGTTATTTTACTGTGATCGTTGGTGGAGGTAACTTCCCCAGATTGCAATTCGAGCGGTGAATCCGCTTTACCCTTTCTCTCTTTAAACGTAAGGCAAGTCCGCCACCTTAACCACAAACAACAGTACAAAGTAATTTCACTCTGACAGCAAGTTTAACTTAACTTGATCAAATTTATTTGTTTCTTAGGTTTTCACGCACATCACTCATTAAATAAAACTAGTTTTAACGGGTTAGTGCATGAAACTTTATTTATTTATTGACGTTATAAAAAATCATTCTGACGAAGCAGCCTGAAGAGGCTGCGAAACGTAAATAAATAAAGCTTCGTGCATTAAATTAAAAAAAAATCGAAATCGTTTATTCAGTCTAGGCTGTTACAAGCACTTGTGAATGTCGAAAAGCTACGCCATCGGTTCGCAAATCTACGGCGGGAGACCTTGTACTGAGAAGAACCGGCAAGAAACTCAGCGGCTGTTTTTTTCTCCCTGTATTATATACAGAGTCGTCAATTTGAAAAATGACTTCAATATGAGGTACATCATGAAGTCACAAATGTAAATGATAAAACAATTATGTCTATAAAATAAAAAATATAAAAAACAGATTAAAAAAAAGTTTAGGAATGCCGTGTCCCACTGTTTAGGCATAAAAACAAATTTACGATTAAAGTATGTATGAACCCGTTAAAACTAGTTTTATTTGATCAAATTTAATCGACATCCCGAGTCATGATTTCAAAAGACACTGAGGTCAAAAATGAAGCCGGTTCCAGACATCTACGTAACGTACATCTGCCCTTTAAGTAACCCACATGGTTAATAGTTAATTATTTCGCGTTCATTGTTTTTGGTGGGGCTTGGCTCGGGTCATTATGTGGTGGGGTGACTCATCTTACTTGCAATCACGGTATCATGTGGCTACTCTGTTACCCTTGGAACAGATACAAAAACTGTATTGGTTTCACCGAATAGTGTCAGAATGTATAAAAGCCAATTGCTCAACGTATTGGGGAATTTTAAGATAGGTAGGGTTATGCCCTCACATCACACAAGCCTTACAGTGCTTACTTTGGGTTAGGCTAATTGGTGTGAGTGTTGGATAACAGATACAAAAACTGTATTGGTTTTACCGAATAGTGTCAGAATGTATAAAAGCGAATTGCTCAACGAATTGGGGAATTTTAAGATAGATAGGGCATAAGGGTTTCCCGCTAAGATTGGAGCCCTGTCTGGAGAAGTAACATAATAATTAAACTTTTAACAAAATGTCCAAAAGTGTTGACATGGTTAATTTTAATTGAGCATGGTTAATTTAATTGACTTTCCACTAACCAAATTTAAATCTCAGATCAATAAGGGCTTAATTAATTATAAAGTTAATGATTTACTAAATGATCGTAATGCATGAACATAGTGTTTCTTGTAATTTGTTATTTGATGGGTATTAGTCAGTTTTTGTTACAGTAATATGGTACCTACCTAATGCTGCTTCCAATATCATCATCATCAGCCTCTTAATGCCCCCACTGCTGGGGCACAGGCCTTCCCTATGGAATAGGGAAATTGGGCCATGACCCACCACGCGGGCCCAGTGCGGATTGGCGGTTGCTAACGACTGCAGGTGCAACCGAACCAACGGCTTAACGTGCCTTCCGAAGCACGGAGGAACTCGAGATAGAATTTTTTGGTCACCCATCCAATGACCAACCACTGAGAAAGTTGCTTAACTACAACAATCTCAGCCGAACGCGCTAACGACCTGCGCCATCGAGCTCCTTTCGTACTAAATACAAAATTTATTGTAACTATATACCTATATCCAAAAGATGTAATGGAAGGTGACTTCAGAAGTATCTCTGAAGTCATTTTTCAACTTGACGACTCTGTACATATCTATACAGGAAGAATAAAGCAACCCTTGCTGAGTTTCTTGCCGGTTCTTCTCAGTACAAGGTCTCGAATTTGGTTGGAGTTTTGCGAACCGATGGCGTGGCTTCTTGACCTTCACAAGTGCTTGTAACAGCCTAGACTGAATAATTGACTTTTCATTTCATTTCATTTCAATTATTACGTACTTATCCTTATATTTTTTTTTTGTTTTTTAGCGGTATCCCCTATTTGTGTCAGGTCTTTTTTATCTTTGTTTGTTTGTTTGTTACTTTTAATATATTTTATTCATCATGCCTGCTCTTTTGCATGTTTTAAGTGCTTATTCTTTTGCACATCTTTCTTTTCTTTTATACTTTTACAATTATTTTCTTAACTTCTAATATATTTCTTTTACTTTTCTGTTTGTTCTATTTACATTTCATAATTTATTCTATTTACACACACTTATTTTCTGTTATTATACATATTTCTTATATGCTACAATTTGTTACTTACGTATATTTCTTAACACTACTGTACATTGTTTTGCCCATTTGGTTTTCTGTTTAAATCTAGTATTTACAGTGTATAATATAAATTGGTACATCTCTATGCTAATTATCTTTATTTCTTACAATTACTCTTTCCACTATACTTTTACTGAACCTGATATATATATCTCTATCTCTTTGGTTTCTTATAATCACCTTAAGGTTAGCCTTACTAAGTTGTGTGTCTAGTGCTGTTTGTGCGTCGTGTAGGGATGCGCCGATCCAATCCGATCATTTGAAAGATCGGATCGGAAGGCATACGATCCGGTAATTTTCAGATCGGATCGAGGCCATACGATTTTTTGCCGGATCGTTACAAAACTTGAAAGATCGGATCGCTTGGATCGTATGAATTAAAACGCGGTTTGTTTACAATAAATTGGGTAGGTACTTACTAAGGTTTCTGTTACGAACTTTATCTTTGTTTACATTTCAACTTGGCGGCATTCTTTGCAGGTGGACCCGTTAATCTTATACATTCTATTATTATAAACAAAAGTTGTACCTGATTAGGTGTGACAATTATTGATAAGTTTACCAAATAAAAATCTAAAATAATTTGTCTTATTTATTGTATCCAATCCAACCGATTTCTTGAAGGTCGCATCGACGAAATGCGATCCGATCCGCGGATCTGATCGTAGCATTACGATCCATTACGATCCGAAAAATCGGATCGGCGACCCGGTTCGCACATCCCTAGCGTCGTGTCTTTCTCCGTTGTATAGGGGGCATTCTAAGAGGACATGGAAGATGTCCTCTTCGGTGTCTGGGTCGCAAACGCATCTAGAGCTGTCCTTCTTTTTGAACCTATGGACGTAGGCGGAGAAACCTCCACTTATCCTTATATTAAATAATTCTTTTTAATATTTCATGTCAAAATCAAGTCTTTTTGAACTTTTCAGTATCGAGTATTAAGTCAATATAAGAGGATAATTTGATACCGCTGCCACCTTCGAAGTTTCTGTCTAACATCTACACGTAATTTATTTATAAACACTTAATATTTTTCTGCAAATATGGAAATTTAGGTGTTTCATCACTGTTATTGAAATGCAGTTTATAGTAGCTATTTTCAATATTTGGATAAAATCCTACACTAAAAAATCAAGTAATGTTTATTTATCCGTCTGCTACTTTGATTGATTAAGTCATAAGTTACCTGCATTGCACCAACTTGAGTGTTAGTGGCACAGTGCAGAATAGTTTTAAGTTACTGAACAATTTTCAGCGAATAATGTCAATGGAGCTCGATGGCGCAAGTGGTTAGCGCGTTCGGCTGCGATCGTTGAAGTTAAGCAACTTTCGCAGTGGTCGGTCACTGGATGGGTGACCAAAAATCTTCTATCTCGAGTTCCTCCGTGCTTCGGAAGGCACGTTAATCCGTAGGTCCCGGCTGCATCTGCAGTCGTTAGCACCCACCAATCCGCACTGGGCCCGCGTGGTGGGTCATGGCCTAATCTCCCTATTCCATCCATAGGGAAGGCCTGTGCCCCAGCAGTGGGGACACTAATAGGCTGATGATGATAATGAATGTAATGCAAAAAATCCTAAACATTTCTAGTAGTAAGTAAATTTTATCTATTTGTATCAAATGTTGAATGATTTTGATATTATTTTTTATTTTTTACAATTACCAGCATTGTATTCTTTACGTTTTTCTCACGACGTAACAAAGTAGTTTTATTTTATTAACGGAAGAATAAAAATGCAATATTTAATAAATGCATCTGTTCACTATCGGAAATAACTAAGATATTATTAGACGTCCTTCGTTAAAGCATACATATCTATAAGACTATACTTGTAGCTAAAGTCATTCACGCGTTCATTGCACAGATCTACAATCTAATTAATCAAGGATAATTAAATACAATTAACCTAATCCAGACAATAGTAGTTACTCACCGTTCATTTCGTAACAATATCACTGAATGTCTTTGCAATCACTGCGAACTTTTATAATAAGAAAACAAAAATCACAGACATAAATCACACCAAGAAGTCCGGACACTATGAAACCTACGAAAAAGATAAAATTTTCGAAAATTCAAATTCGGAACTTCGGAACCTACGAAAAAATGAAAATTTTCGAAAATTCAAATTCGGAACTTCGGAACACCGGCGACGACAGTGTCCGCGGGAGGCTGCGCAAAGGCAAGCGCGCGCTACGTTTATCGAGAACAAAATGCAGATAAAATGCGTAAGCGCTGTATAATAAAGTGGCATTGCGTACGCAGCCCCGTGATGCGACGATAAAAATTCAATAGTGTATCTTGTACGTGACGGCTGTGGATTCTTGTCCGATAGCCCTCGACCATGTGGCGATTTGATAACATAATATAAATGTGAATCGATTAATCCTAACTGAATATAATAAATGCAAAAGTGAGTTTGTTTGGTTATCTGGTTGTTACCCTTTCACTATTAAATAGATTCGGATGGAATTTGGTACGCATATAGCTCATGACTTGGAATGAGTTATAGGATACTTTTTGTCCCGGAAAAGTGTTAGGTTCCTAAGGGATATTAAAAAAAATAAGTAAACACGGATGAAGTCGCGAGCGGTCGCTAGTTATTTATCATCATCATCAGCCTATTAATGTCCCCACTGCTGGGGCACAGGCCTTCCCTATGGATGGAATAGGGAGATTGAGCCATGACCCACCACGTGGGCCCATTGCGGATTGGCGGGTGCTAACGACTGCAGATGCAGCCGGGTCCAACGGCTTAACATGCCTTCCGAAGCACGGAGGAACTCGAAATAGTAAATTTTTGGTCACCCATCCAATGACCCACCACTGCGAAAGTTGCTTAACTTCAACGATCGCAGCCCCCCCCCCCCCCACGACAACTGCTAGCTGGAGCCGAGGTCCGAGTCCCATAAACGCCCTCTAGTTGAGCTGACCCCCTCAGGTTCGAGTGGTCTAGAGACTCCAGACGGAGAGGAGACTCCTCCCATAGGAAGATGCCATCCGCCTGGAATACCTCTAGAGGCACTCGCCAATTCTCGACTTGAGTTCCCTTTAGGATCTCGCTGTCCCCAAACCTGGTGTCACTGTAAAGGTCATCTACGACAAACAGCATACACACTTAACTGACAACTGGACGGACACAGGCGCGGTTTAAAACCGTGCCCAGATCCTTGCAGAAATAATCTCGTTAGCTTCCAGATTAAACGTGTTTTATAACACGAGATTCAAAGACTTGGAATTCCAAATTTGCCGAAAATCGATATTACTTACAAGTCCATTAAGAAGATCTCCAGATATATATATATATATATATATATATATATATATATATATAATATTACAAATATCGTCGAATCATACAGTAATAAAATAAATAAAACAACGAAGGTTATTGTTCACAATGCTCAAAACATTTTTCTGAACATGAATTTGATTTATAGTATCTATTATTATGATTCGCCTTATCATTGACATCTAGGTATTGCAATGCATTCAGCTATCAGTTTAACGAATTGGTTAACATTGACCTTCTGTGATCTATTGAGACATATCTTTAAGGCGTTGAGCAGACGACGGGGCGGGGCGGGCACTTTGTCCGCGAAGCAATAAAGACCGCGTCTGCCCGTCGATGTCTGCGGCTGCCCGCGCCGCGTACACAAAGCACACGACGGGCAGAGGCGGTCAGTTTAGGACGTTCGTTCTAGTGAATAGTCCATCACTAATAAGCGCGTGGCGCGGACTGAGCTGACCGCCCAGCGCCGCCGTCTGCGTTACTGCATATAAACTGGTTTGTATGATCCACGGCGGGCAGCCGCGGACATGCCGCGCCGCCACTGCCCGCCGGGCACCTGCGGCGCGGTCTTTTTGCCCTCTGTGTGCGTTTGAAGTATAGTATTCACTTTGTGCTATTATTCGCGGCGAAATTGACCGGCCCGCCCCGCCCCGTCGTCTGCAAAGCGCCTAACTGGCCATGCAGCCGCAAGGTGACTGTCATTACACGGACAGAGGCATCGAGCGATGCGAGCTTTTCCAAAATATTTTTACATCATCTCAAAGCCCTTCAAATTCCGCGTCTTTATACGTCCTCGTTGCCGCAAGGGAGCCGCTCGCCGCGTGATTTTGCACCTCGTGCCGCGCAAAGGGCAAAGGGCACATCTACAGCCTCAACCGTCACCAAAATCGAAAAAAGTATAATGACCTAAGATGTTCCTTGGTTCAATGCCGATATGGATTTTTTCATATTTTTGATATTCGGCCCCGTTCTCGAGGTATCGGAAATTTTTATGTGATAACAACACGATTTTTCTGTCGCAAAAAGTCGATTTTATACGATTCCCAAAAAAGTTTATGACTTTTCCAAAATATTTTTTATATCTTCTTAAAATCCTTCAAAATAAAATTCCGCGTGTCTTTTAAAATTTTGATGCGTCCTCGGGGTATCACGGGCTGTCTGACTTTCAGCGAACATGGCGGCCTACTGGAGCGAACGAAAAAACAGTTCCAATTCACATTTTATGTGAATCAAAACAATCACCCAAGGCCATGGTCTCTTCCGCATCCTTTTTATATAAAACCAATCTATATCTCGTTTATAACGGACTGATACCAGATCACTAAGGTCAGGAGATTTTGAGATTTTATGTGTAAACACACTTACTTTCCGTTTTGATACAATTTATCAGCATTTAAGTTTTAGTCATATTTAATGAAACGCGTTTGGTGTCATGAAGGTTACAGGATATAACAATAATACCTTTTAAGTTTTTTATACATTATGATTCCTTAACATTGCAATGAGACAGATCACCATATAAACAAAGAAAATAAATGTGTGTATCATTTATCATGATGATTATGCAATAAATATAAGCGGCGATCGTTGAAGTTAGCAACTTTCGCAGTGGTCGGTCATTGGAAGGGTGACCCGGCTGCATCTGCCGTCGTTAGCATCCACCAATCCTCACTGGGCCCGCGTGGTCGGTCATGGCCCAGTCATGAATAGGGAGGCTTCTGCCTTAGCAGTGGGGACATTAATATGCTGGTGATGACGTTGTGATGAAACACACAAACAATAAAAAAAAATATTAAAACCATTTTTATTTGCCATTCATATCTATCAAATATAATCGAAGTACCTGAATAAATTTCAAAACAATCGCTTAATGAAACAGGCAGCGGTCCAAATGACTCAATTAAACAATAAAATTTAAGCATAACTATATTCATCAAAGTTAAGATGCAAGGACCAAGGACGGGCATGGCCGCTCACTTTACCAAAGTTAAATTAAACTTTAAGACTGTTGTTAAAACTAACCGCAATGAACAACGAGCGGTTATTCACTCTTGACACACAAACCTGACAGATTTGTTGGATAAACACAGGATTCTATACTTAGTATATTATCTTTTTCGCTTATTTATTCTTTTATTTAAAGAAATATTTTAATATGGCCTGGCGTTACAAAAGTATGATAAGAGAGGTACGGCATAGCGGATTTTCGATTTTCGCGCGGGCCTTCCTACGCACGTCTGCGGGGTCCCCGCGATACCCCGGGAGAACCCTTTTTTTTATACGCAGGCAAAAAATACTATTTACAGACGACGGTGCCTTTAAGAGGCACACCGCCGAACGGACCTCACACCTGACTCCCGCAAGCCTTACGAGCCCCAGCAGTGGCTGCCCACTGAGGACCCCGTAACTCTTACGGGCGCTTTACGGCATAATATCCGCTAAAAAACTCTGCGAATACCCTCTAAGCTGCTTAGCGCGAAGCCGCGTGATCCCCGTTTAGGGATTCATCCGCGTCTGCGCACCTAGCAGCCTCCCGGCCTTGCCGGGGCTCCGCGGCAGGGTTCTCCCGGGGTGTCGCGGGGACCACGCTGACGAGTACGCGGCCTAGTGCCCACCGTACCGCCCCTGTCCGCTGCACGCCCAAGTAGCCCTCCTACTTGGGCGTGCCTATGTAGCTCCCTCCGCCGCCCCCCTCTTTGCAGGACAGAACTACAAGGGGGGGCTGCCGTCACGGGGTCCGTCAGTGGTCGGTACAGCTGTCGCCATGCCGGTCAGCGAGGGACCCTCCACCCCGGGAGACCTCTGCCGTGGAGCCCCGGCTAGGCCGGGAGGCTGCTAGGTGCGAAGACGTGGAAGAATCCCTAAACGGGGATCCCGCGGCTTCGCACTAAGCAGCTTAGAGGCTGTAAAATGCACGTAAGAGTTACGGGGTCCTCAGTGGGCAGCCACTGCGGGGGCCCGTATGGCTAGCGGGAGCCAGTTGTGAGGTCCATTTGGCGGTATGCCTCTTAAAGGAGCCGTCATCTGTAAACAGAGGCTTTGCCTGCGTCACCCAAAAAAAAGGGTAACGGATAGAATACATATGCTGCACATATTTAAGTATATATTTATAAAGAAATACATATTAAACATCCCTGACTGGAGTACAAGCGCTCTTATTCATCACACAAACATCTGCCCCGACCAGGATGCGAGACCTCACGATAAGGCGGCACCATGAAGCCCAGCGTACAAACCACTCGGCCACGGAGGTCGTCAAATGGAGAGCCCGTCTGGACAAGTAACCTTTACCTTATAGAAGACCATAGTAAATTAACACTGCCTTTCGGTAGTGTTGTGTTTTTATTGGTGAGTAAGGTGCCTGGGCTCCACGGGGTAAGGGATTGGGTCAGGGTAGGCAACGGCGCATGTGATATTATTAGGGTCTTTCGTTGTTTCGACTCGGTGATGGTTGGACCCGCGGGCCGAATCAACAAACTATTTAACGGGTCGGCGCGTTCCATTCCTGAACCCATTCCCTACCAATTGGAGGCCTAGAAACCTTACTTATAACTTCGAAACTTTCAGCGCTCTCAGCCGAGAGCAACGACGCAATCAGAACCAAGTTTTGGACAAGTTATGAGCATTTGCTAACACATAACCGTGGCGCGCCTGCCCCGCCCACAAGGGCCTTCTAACCTCTTTCTGAGTTCTGTGGTCCAGATGGTGGGAGTGTGACTTTTTGTATATAGTACGATCTATTTGACACGCAATTCATTCTTCATAGCACTTTTGTTAATTATTTACATTGACACTTGTCATCGTCATGACTATAACGCAGTCATCGCTTACCATATATTGTAAGTGTACCCAT